CCCGCGGCACAACCCCGGCACCCCCCCAGCTCCTCTATTGCAGGCATCCCCGATTCAGCTGCTGCTGAAACTGACCAGCAGCAGCTGAATCAGGGACGCCTGGGGCAGAGCCGGACTATCGTAAGGGGGGGCTATGAGGGGTCTGGGGTGGCATCCCGTCCCACCCCACTCCAGACCCTTCATAGCCCCCCCTTCTGATAGTCCGGCATATCTGATAATCTGGCAACCCCTGGGTCCTAAAGGTGCCGTATTATCAGAAGTTTACTGTAGTAAACTAACGGTGAGATTCTCAAATGGTACAAATGACAATTAGGCACATAACTCCCTTTGACTTTCAATGGGAGTTGGACAACTATGTCTTTGAAAATCTTTACCAGTCCAGTTAAGACATGCTCACTTTGTTCAGAATGACTATGCAAATTTTATTGTATTTCTCGATGTTCTTCACAACATGAATCAGATCCTGAACTTTGGTCTCTGTTTCACTACAAAGGGCTACATGCTCTCCTGTTAAAACTTGGGAGTCCTCAGTATCTAGAACACAAATACCACTGTGACATGCTCTTTCTCTCACAGAAGCAAAGTGATCCTTGGACTCATTCATTCTGCATTCCTCTTCCCTGCATCCTGGAATCCCACACTGTTAGCAAAACAATTTACAGTTTGATAACAGATCTAACTGCTCTCTGCCTAATAGCCCATTCCTCAAATCCTTGTTTCCACTCTCAGACTCTACTCCTGTTCTCTACAAACTTAACTCTTCAAGCTGCTCCCCTCTGACCTAATGCTTCTGAATGGAGGCATGTCCTGGAATCCTATATAGAAGAGCCCTGGCACACAGCAAATTATGCTCAGATTAACAGCAGAGACAGATCTGGGGATCACTTGTGGTAAACTTCAAAGATGCAAAAAAGCATGAGGAATCAGACACAAAATTATACTAAGGGCAGGCACTGAAAGTATAATGGATCAAGATAGAGGATGCTGGGGCAGGCAAAGAGGAGCTGCAAGAAAGATTGGGTTGGAAGCAATTATTTTGAAGCAGATGGGAGGGATATCTCTTGGTAAATGGTGAAAGGGAATCATGTCAGCATTATTTTCTTTTCAGGATAGATATTGTCAAAGTATATGACAAAAAATAATTCATAAAAGATCATGGGGCATTCAGCCATGAAAATTAACTCAATCTCATCAGTGGGAGTCACAACACTAAATATCTGTTTATTTCTTTTGAAATTTAAAGAACAAAAATATTATCTAAAAATAATTCTGAGGGTTATTAGTCCTTATCTTAACCAATCAACCAGTTCTTGTGTCAGCAAGCTGAATTACCACTTACCATCAATAATTCTCTTCACTCTCCAAATCCGCAGAGTTATAATGAGACTAATGGCATCCCAAGGACTGCTTGGGCCATTTGCCACGGTAGAGGCCACCATTGGAGCCAAGGATAAAATTATTACAGCACCATCAAATACCTAAAATGAGAAATATTTGTTAATGAATAGCATTTTCAAATGCTTTCTAAGGATCACAAAACCTCCCACCCTCCTTAGTGAGTCCTTGGAAGGCTTTTAATGAACAAAAGTGGTGCAGTTATGATAAACTGTGTGTGTTTCGAGGTGAGCTGAGTAGGCTGCATCCTATGAAAGCTGTAAAGCAGAATTTCCTTAGTAACTTCATCCACTTTTTGAGGTGAGAGGGAAGCATGGTCAAGGTGGCCTGCGGCTACACAAATCCACTGGTCAACATCTCCACGCAGAAGTTGTGCCCTAATACTATTACAGCCCAGGAGCTGTAATACTGTTGGTATTCGTTACCAGTCACTAGATGAGGCACAAACACATTCCTTGCCTGAAAGAATTTGCATCTTAAAAAGACACAGGGAGAAAGAGATGAAGTAAAAGGGGAAAAACAAACAAGCAAACTGATGAGGTGGCACTTCACAATGTCCTGGTAATTCAATACGGGAATGTTCTGTGTTTGTCAGAGCTAAAGAGACTATCCCCATGGAGCATGATAGTGTCACTATTATCTGGTTAGCTTCCAGTAGGTGTCCCAACAAATGTAGATTTTCAGGGAGGATCTGAATAAGGAGAGGATTCAATGGGGATTCATGGGGAATCAGCTCCAGAAGGGCTATTCTATGTGCGGGAGGTTACATGGGAGAAGGAATAGAAAGGTCTGTGGGAGACGTGGATAATTGGCATGTCAAGAATGGAATCACTGGCAAAACAGGGAGAATGAAATTGAGGGCAATGCTAATAATGCTTGGGCTGGCCCAGCACATCCTGGGAAGTTATTATTAGGCAGAATTCTGTGCCCCCCAGCCTCTGTGGAAAGTCCCAGTATAAAGGTTCATTTACGTATAGTTTGCACAGGAAAACGGGACTTAAACATAAACACAAACTAGAAATATGCAAATAACAAGTTATAATCCTCATTAGAACCATCTGGAGGATGCTGGAATACACTTCCCTTTATAAAGTAAAATGAAACTGCTGAAATTGATGTTTTGCTGTACAGTATAATATTACATACCATCTGGCTTCCAAGCTATACTGTAAGTCTCACTTGGAATATGCAAGCCAGATAAAATGGTTTGAAGTTCAGTTATGAAAGGTTTGTACACTTCTAAATGTAGCTTTATATGCAATGAAAACCAGATTTCCTATTCTTAACTGCACAGCATTTAGTTTATTAGTTTTATGTTCCATTTAATTCCTATTTTATCACAGCAATCCTATAATTACTGAAATTATAGTGTACACTATTGTTGCACTTTATATAAATTCTTAAGTAATTGACATTTTGTTAATTATGTATGTTATCTGCTTTTGGTCAGAACCATAATAGCTACAAATAGGCTTAAACACAATTATTGACAGCAGGTTCTAGCCATGGTCTCCTTGACAAGTATGGACAGGAGTTTGTCTGTTTTGCATTGTGGGGGATTAGTCTGTGCCTTATCTATACTACAGCTAGAATCAAGTCTGGGCAGTAGCTTAAATGGTCTACAGGCAGTCCCCGGGTTACATGGATCCGACTTACATCGGATCCCTACTTACAAATGGGGTGAGGCAACCCCGCACTAGCTGTTTCCCCCCAGCAGACCAGGGAGACGCGGAGCAGCTTTTCTCAGCAGACACCTCAGCTTGAGAATAAAGGACTGAGGGAAGTGAGGTGTGGGAGAATAAAACTGAGCTCTGGAGAAATGTTTGGCTAGAGTTTCCCCTACAATATGTACCAGTTCCGACTTACATACAAATTCAACTTAAGAACAAACCTACAATCCCTATCTTGTACGTAACCCAGGGACTTCCTGTATATATTTGGACTTTCCAGGGTTTTCACTAGAACTAATTAGAAAACTGATCAAATTTTGATTTTGATTTTTTTCTACCCTAGAAAAGCCAAATCAAAAGAATTGATACAACAAATCTTTTTGAAACAAAAAAAATCTAAAGTTTTAGTTCTGAAAGTTTTAGTTCTCAGTGGTGATAGACGGCAGAACAAGGAGCAATGGGCTCAAGTTACAGTGGGAGAGGTTTAGGTTAGATAGTAAGAAAACCTATTTCACCAGGAGGGTGGGCAAGCACTGGAATGGGTTCCCTAGGCAGGCGGTGGAATCTCCAGCCCTAGAGGTTTTTAACTTTTGGCTTGACAAAGCTCCCTGGCTGGGTTGATTTTGTTAGGGTTAGTCCTGCCTTGGCCTGGGGAGGGGGGGAGGGGTAGGACTCGATGCCCTCCTGAGGTCTCTTACTCTTCCATAGGATTCTATGATTCTATGAAAATATTTAAATGGGGTGTTTCAATATTTTTGAAATGCTTTTTCTAAAAATGAATTTTTGTAGAAATCTATGATTTAGTGAAAATTTTTGGTTTTGTTAAAATAGCATTTTCCAACAAAAATTCTTTTTGGTGAAAATTTCCTACCAGCTCTAGTTTTAACTTGATTGTGGAAACTTGGTTAAACCACATCTGTCATCAAAAGTACACTAAATCTGCAATAAAACATATTATTTAAAATACTGTTCTACCCAGCATCAGTCTGATACTTCCTGCTGTGGACAGGGTTTAATTTGCATCTCACTTCATCTTTGCTTGCAGGGAGTAACATGCAAGAATCTCAGAGTGTAAATGCACCAATTCCTATAACTAAAGCACACACTGCAGAAATAATTATTTTTACTTTTCCATGCTGACACGTAAACAGTATTGGTTGTGGTATATTTACTTACCTCTATTTTGTTTTCAATGTAATCCCATATGCCAAGAACCACAATTCTCAAAATAGTCTAACAAGAAATATTAAGAAACAGACAGCAATTTATAATTTACATCACACACATTCAGAAATCCCTTTGAATTAATAAAACAATTAATTAGGAGTATCAATTCATCACAGTTAATTCATATGATTAACTAAAAAATTGATAGTGAATAATCACACTGTTAAGCAATAGAATACCACTTGAAATTTATTAAATATTTTGATGGTTTTTTACATTTTCAAATATATTGATTTCTCTTACAATAGAGAATACAAAGTATACAGTACTCATTTAATATTTTTGTTTACAAAAAATTGCACTGTAAAACTTAAAAAAATATCTTTCAGATCACCTCATACAAATGCTATATTGTGTAAACTCTTTATCATGAAAGTGCAACTTACAAATGTAGAAACATTTTTGCCACATAACTACACTCAAAACCAAAGCAATGTAAAACTTTAAAGCCTGTAAGTCAACTTGGTCCTATTTCTTGTTCAGCCTTCACTAAAACAAACAAATTTGTTTATATTTGCAGGAACTAATTCTGCCTACTTCTTATTTACAATGTCACCTCAAAGTCGGAATAGGCATTCGCATGGCACTAAAGTAGCCAGCATTGCAGGATATTTATAAGCCAGATGCACTAAAGAGTCATGTGTCCCTTCATGCTAATGAAGCTTGTTAAAAAACATGTTAATTAAATTTGTGACTGACACCCTTGGGGGAAAATTTTATGTCTCCTGTTCTGTTTTACCCGCTTTCTGCCTATATTTCATGTGATAGAAGTCTCAGATGATGACAGCACATTTTCATTTTAAGAACACATTCACATTTGACAAAATGCAAAGATGGCAGCAATGTGAGATTTCTAAAAATATCTACAGCACTTGACCCAAGGTCTAAAAATCTGAAGTGCTCTTCAAAATCAGAGGGATGAGATATGGGACATGTTTTCAGAAGTCTTATAAAAGCAACACTGTGAAGAGTGAAAACTACATAACCAAACCACCACAACAACAACAACAAAAATCAATCTTCTACTGGTAGCATGTGACTAAGATGATGAAAAGCAACATGAATCAGTCCATCCTGCTTTGGATTGTTAAACAGCAGAGCCCATCATCAGCATGGAGGTATGTCCTCTGGAATGATGGCTAAAGCATAAAGGGACGCATGAATCTTGAGCACTTCTGGCATGTAAATATCTTGTGATGCAGGCTAAAACAGTGCCAAGCAAATACTTGTTCTCACTTTCAGGTGATGTTGTAAACAAGAAGCAGGTAGTATTATCTCCTACAAATTGTAACCAAAATAGTTCTTCTGAGCAATTGGCTGTACAAGAAGTAAGACTTAGTGGACTTGTAGCCTCTTAAGTTTTACATTGTTTTATTTTTAATGCAGTTTTTTGGTACATAATTCTACATTTGTAAGTTCAACTTTCATGATAAAGAAATTACACTAGGTGCACTTGCATTAGGTGAACTGAAAAAGACTGTTTCTTTTGTTTTTTACAGTAAAGTATTTTTAATCAAAAATACATATAAATTGGGCACTGTAATGCCGTTTTCTAATTGAAATAAAAATATATGAAAATACAGAAAATATCTGAAGTATTTAAATAAATGGGATTCTACTACTGTTTAAAAGTGCAATTAATCATTATTAATTTTTAATCACATGATTAATCAATCATAATTATATTTTTAATTGTATGTCAGTTCTACAATTAACCCCTACATGTTCCCAGGCTGCTGCTCTCTCTCTACAAAGCATAGGGGCATTTCTTCATTTTAAAATCCCAGGGAATCAGAGTGCGGGGGGAGGAGAGAGGGAGAGGGAGAGGGAGAGGAATGTGTGCACCCTCCTCTCAGCAAACAGTAAAAGTTTAGTGTATTTATTTAGAAAAGAGGAATAAGTGAAAATAACATGAAACAGTGAGGGATTCCTATGAAAATTCCAACAGCATCTTTCCCATTTTTCTCTGCTGATAGTATTTTTAAAAAATCAAATTAAAAATTACTCATAGGGTAGCTGTGTTAATCTGTATCTGCAAAAACAATGAGGAGTCATGTGGCATGTTAAAGACTAAAAGATTTATTTGGGCATAAGCTTTCCTGGGTAAAAACCACTTCACCAGATGCACCTTATGAAATGTTTTTTTACCTACAAAAGCTTTGTCTAAATAAATCTGTTAATCTTTAAGGATTCCTTGTTGTTTTTAAAAAGTACTATAATTTCATTCATATAAAAGTTAAGGCTCCATTCTACACGTGCCAGAGCAGAACTCAGATTAAAATGTACATCACACACAACAGAGGCATTAAAACATAGATGTGTGGTTTATAAAATATACCAAAATGTTATTCTGCCTGTCTAAAAATATAATTAATCAGAAAGAGCTTGGCAGATATGTGAGAGAGGTGCCCATGCCAGAAAAGGAGTCAGAATTTTGCAGGGGAAAACAATAAAGAATTAAAATGTCTGTGAATATCTCTCTCTTCTATTCATTCCAAATGCAAATATATTAAAAAGCCAAAAACTCTAGGTTCATGCTGCTATCAGATTCTGAATACAATAATGGTAACCTAGCTACAGATTAGCATTGGGTTCTTTCATAGAACACTGCTCACACTCAAAAACCTGATAATCCACTGCCTTGCACTTTCTGTAGCTGTTTTCACCTGAGCAAAGTGAGCTTGAAACTGCTCCAATTCTGATAGCCTTTTATACTCCGGTTACACAGATATAAATGACTACATTGATGCAAGGCATTGAAGAATCCAGCCCAGTGTTTTTAAAAGAACCAGATCAGTAATTGAGTAACCATGCAGGCAAATGGGTTAGCTAATATGTTTAAAAATAGCTCTCACAAGGCATTGGACATCTGAGTCTGTTTTACTGAATGGGAGTATGCCACTCATGATAATTAGTGTGGTTACCCTTTTCCCCTTTGAGGAAGTGTACCTTGAACCACCTTAGGAACTGATGCCAATAAACCTACATATATAAAATAAAAAATAGTCTAGTAGCACCTTAAAGATTAACAAAACATGTAGATGGTATCATGAGCAAAACCCACGTCTTCAGATGACTGGAGTGTTGAAGTCTAGATCCAAGAATAAATAAGGAAAGAGGGGGAGAAGAGAAAAAAAGAGAAAAAAAGGAGAAAAAAGACAGTGAATAGATTGTTCAAGTTACAAGAGGCTGAAAAGAACAATTAGCACCTCCATTGTTTGTTTGTTTGGTTAAATCATTAGGATGTGGAAGGTAGTGGGAGCCAGCTGATATCTCTGTTCATTCTAATCTGATAAGAATTAAATTTGTAAATGAAGTAAAGTTCCAACCTTTCCCTGTGTATTTGGCTTGTGGAATTGGCCTGAAACAACACAATGACTTGGAGATCCATTAATGAGTTCCTAGACAGGTTTCTGAGTTGGAACCCATTAATGGAACCCATTCATGAGTTCCAGAAGTTTCTGTATGATACCTTTTCAGATATCTGATTTGTGTCCATTAATTCTTTCCTGTAGAGACTATCCAGTTTGACCAATATACATGGCAGTGGGACATTGCTGGCATTTGATGGCATAGATCTCATTAGTGGAGGTGTAGTTAAATGAGCCCCTGATGTAATGGCTGATGTAGTTGGGTCCAGTGATGAAATCACTTGAGTAGATGTGTGTACAGAGCTGGCACCGGGGCTGATTGCAGGGGTGGGTTCCTGGATGATTATGATGGAGGCATGTTGTTTGGTTACAGGAAAGAATTTGTTTGAGGTTAGGGGGTTGTCTGTAGGTAAGGAATGCCTTTCCTCCAAGGAAATGGAGGCACTAATTGTTCTTATCAGCCTCTTGTAACTATCTATTCACTGTCTTTCCCCTTCCATCCTTCCCCCCCCCCTTATTTATTCTTTGATCTGGACTTTTAATACTCCAGTCATCTGAAGAAGTGGGTTTTGCCCACGAAAGCTCATGATACCATCTACATGTTTTGTTAGTCTTTAAAGTACTACCAGACTATTTGTTCTTTTTTAAGTTTTTCTAGTTACAGACTAATTCAGCTACCCCTTTGAAGATATGCAAAATAGCTTTTCACATGAAGGATCCCAAAATGATTCACAGATTTAGTAAACTGATAGACCATTCATGGAGTCATTACATTGACCTGTTACGTAACCACCTGTGGGCCAAGACTGCAACTGTTCAATTGTCAGAAAGAACTTCATAGCATTATACGGTTCCATTTGAGGAACAGCTCCTCTAACAATTCCACAATCACCAGTATTATGTGGGACCATGAGCAGAGAAGTGAATTCAAAACCTGATATGGAGCTGAAGTCAATTGGAGTTGTAGGTGCTCAACAAATCTCAATATCATGCCCTTAGAACAGGAATGGGGAATCTTTTTTGGGTCGGGGGCTGCTGACCCCTAGGCTAGTAGATTTGTGTGCTCCAGGCCCCACGGTGGGATAGTGGGGGTGGGGAGGGCTAAAATGCCAGTGCAGACTCCCCAATGCTGGGGGAGAACCCCAGCCTCAGGGGCCTGATCCAGGCAAGTCAGGTTCCCTACCCTTGCCTTAGGACATCTGAATAGTCCTGCATTTACAGCATTTTCATCACATAGCATTCCCACTGAAAACACACATTGGTTGATATGCCACAATTGTCCTAGAAGTGCCACAGTTCTCAGTCCTTGCTCCAATAAAACAAGGATTTGAAAAACAAACAAACAAAAATATTCAAAAGCCCCATCCCCCTATTTCCTCCCAGAAACAGAATCAAATAAGAGAATCACAGAAGATTAGGATTAGAAGAGACCTCAGGTCATCTAGTCCAATCCCCTGCTCAAAGCAGGACTAATTCCAACTAAATCATTCCAGATAGGGCTTTGTGAAGCCTTTCCTTAAAAACCCTCTAAGGAGGGAGATTCCACTACCTCTCTAAGCAACCCATTCACCACCTTCCTAGTGAAATAGCTTTTCCTAATATCTAATCTAGATTTCCCCCAATGTAACTTGAAAC